AGGCAATTCCTGTTCACTTTTACTGCTAAGAGCATCTGAAGTCACCATCGGGCTTGCTTGCTGGGCTTCACTGATCCTCATCCTTGATACAAAATCGTCTCCATCTTTCATTTCGGCACATTTGTCTTCTTCTACACCATCAACAACAGACAATTCCTTTTCACTTTTACTGCTAAGAGCATCTGAAGTCAACATCGGTTCAAGTGGTGTTTCTTCGTGCATATGTGTCTCATCCACCTGTAAATTGTTGAAGTCTTTTATTTGGTTTTTATCCCTTGGTTGTTCAAAATGATCAGCACTCAACTCCTTCCCAGCATCTGTACCTAGGGCGTCCTCTTCACTTGTTTTCTCTTCAGTGGCACTAACTGTTTTCAATTTGTCACTTTCTGAGACACACTCATCACTTATATCTGATGTGTTTAAAATATGTTCCTTCACCTCGTAAACTTCCAAAGAGGGTTTGTTGACAGAATTTTCTTCTTTGGGGTTCATTTCATCAGAATTTTTCTTTTGAAGCACACTTTTCTCTACCTTTTTATCGTCTCTTTCCCCTTTAGCACCATCATCACTTCTTGAATACCGTTTTACTGGATCAGAGCTTTTATGAGACGATGATGGCACTGATCCATTTGCCTGTTTTTGCACTGAATTGTGATGAAGTGGCATTCTACCCAAATTGGCATCCGACACAGCTGGGGTCTTCACTGGAGCAAGCCAAAAACCTGTAGGACGTTGCTGAAAAGACATTTGCTGAAAAAATGGGGCCATTGGGGTCCCTGAAATTCCACCCAGTTGGGGTGGCAAAGGTACCATATTAGGTAATGAAGGGGGACGCATAAAAGGCATTCGCTGTGGTGTTGCTGGTGGAACACCAAATCTCAGAGCTTCCACTGGTGGAAATCCAAATTGTTGTGAAGTGTTTGCTTGTTGTACTGTTAGGGGGTTTACTTGTGGTGAAGGACCCAACTGCTGTACAAAAACAGGTGGCCTGACAATAGTAAGAGGATGTGAAGGCCTTGGAAGAGATGCTGGGGGAATGTTCACTGCAGGTTGACGAGGATGGGGGAATGGAAACCCTTGAGCAGGTGGTGTCCATTGTTGACCTGGCAGTGTCGGTGGAAACATTCGAGGGGATGGTGATACATTAGTGGGTACCGAGTCCAAGCTGTTTCTCCTCTGAACATTTCCAGGGAATGCTGGAGGTTGAGGGACTGTAAATAAAGGACTGTCTACAGGAGGCCTTACTCCAAGTGGAACAGAAGTGGGCAGGCTCCCAATTCTAGGTGGCATAGAATTAATGGCTGGTGGATATAATCCATGTGGTATAGTGGTTGGAGGTGCATTTGCTGGAGGTAAAGTGGTAGCCATAGGAAGAGCTGGAGGTGGTGGAGCAACAGATGTTGGTGTTAAAACAGGGCTAGCTGGAACCGGAGGAACAAAAGGCATTGGGGTACTAGATGGTGTTGATGAGGTGGGATTAATGCCAGGGATGGAAGGAGCAGATCCACTTGAGGGAGTTATTGACAATGATTGACCATGAAACCCAACAGGTGATACTGGACTTCTGAATGGACCTTGTGGAAAAGGAGGGCTGAAAGGAAACGATGATGGAGCTGGAGTGGAATTCACAGGAGTCGCGGGAGCTGCCTTAGAAGATGCCACTGGATTATATCTCCCTTTTGAAGACACCACAGTTATGGGGCTAACTGAACCGGATATGCAGGGTGGAGAAAGAGGACTAAGATCCATAGCAACTGGTGAATCTATGGACCCTTTATCCCTATTTACCTCCCCAAGATCAGGCTTGTCTCTGTTATCTAACTTTGTTTCATCAGGAACATCTGTTGGTTTTTGTTCAGATGACTTGCTGCTGTTGATCCCTTGCCCTGAAGAAGGTTCATTTCTATTTCTGGGTTTTAAGATCAGCTTTAACTTAGGTGCTTTGGATGTCGGACCAGCGTTTGAGGGTGGGCTTTTCAGCATTTCTAAAGATTTTGATGAGATGGCTGGGAAAGAGTCATCTGAAAGTTCTGGTATTGGACTCTGTACAACTGCTTTTTCAGGCTTTTCTACAGGGGCATCATTTTTCTCTAAATCCTTGGAAATCCTGGCCTTTTTCTTTTCAGGTCTTTCCGATGACTCTTGCCTCTTTTCTTTCCTTGTTTCCTTATGTTCTTTCCTTTGAAGCAATGCGACTCTTTCTTTGACAGATAGCTTCTCCTTGTCCTTTGGGACACTTAAGTTACCTTTCTTCGGGGACTTCCCATCATTTTTTCTTACAGCAGTGACCAACTTACCCTCATCTTTTTTTGCATCATCAGCAGTGATTGTCTTTGACTCTTCCTTTTGTTTCAGTATTTCTAAAGCTTTTCTTGTACCATCATTGACACTAACTTGATAAGCCAAGTCCTTGTGCTTTGAAAGCTGTAATTTCCCCAAAACACTTCTAACAAAATCATCATTCACTTGATAATTGACTTGCTGATTTGTCACTGATGAAGTTGATGTTGAGACAGAAGAAGAAATCACACCTTGTGCCATTAGTGCATTCTGTGCATTATATGGCATACTGTCATTACCTTTGACTGGATTAGGAGATTCTAATTCTGGGCTAGGTTCACCATCAACTGAATGTCTCTTGAGTCTGGGGTCCTCTCTATGTTCTACTTTCTTTGTCACCAGGGTCACAAGAGGTGGTCTGGTGTCCCGCTCCCCTATACTGCTGTCACCTTTCAGTTGCCTCAATACTCCATCATCAGTTTGTGTCCTAGCAAATGCTCTCTGTTGCTCTGCACTTCCTGTCCAGTCCTCTCTATGTTCTCCTTTCTTTGTCACCAGGGGCACAGGAGGTGGTCTGGTGTCCCGCTCCCCTATACTGCTGTCACCTTTCAGTTGCCTCAATACTCCGTCATCAGCTTGTGTCCTAGCAAATGCTCTCTGTTGCTCTGCACTTCCTGTCCAGTCCTCTCTATGTTCTACTTTCTTGGTCACCAGGGGCACAAGAGGTGGTCTGGTGTCCTGCTCTGGTGTTCGGTGGTCACCTTTCAATTGCATGGATATTCCATCATCAGCTTGTGTCCTAGCAAATGCTCTCTGTTGCTCTGCACTTCCTGTCTGATCCTCTCTATGTTCTGCTTTCTTTGTCACTAGGGGCACAAGAGTGGGTCCGGTGTTCTGCTCCCGTACTCTGCTGTCACCTTTCAATTGCGAGGATATTCCATCATCAGCTTGTGTTCTGGCAAATGCTCTCTGTTGCTCTGCACCTCCTGTCTGACAAATTTGCACATCTTGATTGAACTTATTTTGTGACATTACTGCTTGTTGTTCTCTAGTCTTTGGAATGCTAAGTAAAGGAGAAGGCAGCTTATCAGCTGTTTTAGCTGTACCAACAGGAGCTGGGTGGTGTAAGGGATGTGGTCTACTAAGCCAGTTTTCGACGGCATATTTCCATGACGCTGTTTGCTCATTTGTTAACTCCTTAACAAACTCTGGTCCTTTAGAATCCTGTGAAGTCCTGTCCTGGGGTATTACAGAGTCCAGGCTCAGTCTTTTCTGTTCAGTGGGGATCTCTCTGATATCACTAAAACATCTTTTCAGCTCATCTTGAATTTGAATGACTGTCTTCACTTCTCTGGAGCTGTCCTCTCTCACTGAAGGGTCTTTAAATAAAAAGGGAAGATACAAAAAAAGGTTGAGATAAATAATAAGAGATAGTATCCTCATTAAACACTGTTTCCTTGATCCAACACAATAATTATTATGACCTGGACAGCAAAAACTTTTTTAACTGGCTAATGCATTAAATTCAGCAAGCTACTCTAACTTGGAAAATGAGTCAAATAGAACAAAAATAGGAGGATTTCAGGATATATGACTGGCTACTCTCCCTGAGAGACCAGTCTCTTCAGTCCTGGACACAGGGGATCAAACCTATGATCTCTCCCTCTACAGATCAGCACCCTGCCTTCCATGGTCTAACAAAGAGTAAGCACTAATTTCAAAAATAAATACAGGATGTGAGTTACTGCATAGCGATATAACCACTCTCTAGATGAAATTTTGAAACTAAAGTTTTCCTTTTGGCAATATTTGGCAGTGCAAGGGTTAATAATACCTATCTCACCTTTGGATTTTTTCTGTGTATTTACAAAAAGAAGAACATGAAGAGCTGCAGGAGAATCTACTGTGGTGATTCCTATGAGATAAAATAAATAAACACATTAATTTAAAAAAGGAAAAGCACACAAAAAACACTTGCGTTGATGTTCCCAATAATAATTGTATGTTACACCTGCAAGACCATTGTGAGGGTGAATACTGGAAAGAGGAAACAGACCACAGGTTGTTTCAGAACTTTCAAACTATTATACAAGAGAAAGAAGAGTGCAGTTGGTCTCTCCTTTCATTTACTGGTTGCTCAGACCTTGGCCCATTCTAATCTTTTACTTCCACGCCAAAACAGCAAATTTTGAGGACGAAACCAAATAGCTGTTACAAGTAGAAACTACAATCAGGGACAAAAGTAGTTGACACACTTGTTTAAAACGGGTGCTTTTAACAAACATTTCATTCATTTATTATTTCATTCCTTTTAAACGCCGTAAATCCCCCGACCCCCCGAATCAATGTTGTCTGAAGTAAAAAAAAGACTTGAGGGTCCAAAATTCAACATTGATTTTGGGGGGAAGGGGTTGGGGTAGACAGGGGAAGGGGATAAGTATATCCACTATGCAAAAAGGGGCCATTTTATGGAAGTGTGTCAACACTTTTGTCCCTCATTGTAGCTGTGCTATTACCATCTGTGTCAGAAAATGTGCTTCACATAAAATGGAATAAAGCAAACTTACCAAGATCCAGAGTGACTTGAGAGGTGGGTATAAGGAAAATGACTCTGTTAGCATCAGGACATTTAACAATACCAGCCTGCAATTTGAGACAAAGTTGAGAGACAATGTTGAGAAGTTAGACACATACGTCTGTTCATTAACACAAACTTAATACATCTTCAATTAGCAATCTTGAAAACCAAGGCAACCCAATGTCTCCCATATAATGTCCTGTCATATAATCATCATCGCTGGCTTTCAAATCGTGAGGGACTTGGTATATAAATGTATTATGGGATTATTAAGTAAATAAAGTCGAAGTTCTCCTTGCGACCACTCTTGTAAGCGACCAGCTCTAGTCACGACAACCTCTGTGAAACCAGATGCAGCAGATGCTATGTTAGTTAATTTATTATTAACTTTGAATCAACAAATTTTTCTAACAGGATTTAACCATAAAAGTTAACGTTAAAAAAGGATGATGTTTCGATCATCAAGCGGCCATTTTCTAGTTCCGGTTAACAAGTAAAAAATCAGCATGTTCTTATATTTTGAGTGAAACAATGCAACTCGATCCGTGTGAAGTTATTTGTTTGATTATTTCACTTTTACATATCTTTTATCGTTCTTAGCATCACTTTTACTGTTCACTGTGTTATCTTTGCTTCTTTTGATTATATAAATACTTGACAGCTTTTAAGTCAGTATCTCATAAGTCCATTCACAAGTGTATATAAACACATGCTACTTTTTTTACTTGTTATTCTGAACTTGAAAATGACCGTCAGAGGGTCCAAACCTTGTTCTTTTTTAATATTTACATTTGTAGTTAAATTATTAACTTACCCAATTTCTTTCTTGAAAAAACTTGACAAGTTTTTTTATCTTTCCATGATCGTCTTCCACTGGGAGTAGATCACAGTGCAAAAAGAAACTTTTATCACCAGCCATGGATGCTACAAAATATTAATTGATTTTAAAGCAATAATTATAAATAATAGTGTTAGAACTAACTGAAAGCATGCAATTTCACCTGCCTCTTGGGATCAGACTCAAAATATTAACGTTAAAATTTCCAGGACTGTCTACGATTCTCTGATGTGCATTGGTGGCTCAAAAACAAAGGGATGACATGGGTGGACCTTGGAAGTTCCTTGGTTGTAAATGCACAACCCTCTCCCCCACCCTTGCAAAAAAAAACCTCTTTTCCCATACCTAACTCCATATCCAAGATTTACACTACATATTATTCTGATCAACATAACTTACATTGTATTACAAGTAGAGCAAAAAGGATGTTCATAAAAACCAAAATACTCCACAATTAATGATCATACTATTAACTCACCTTTACAGATTTTTGTTTCTACTGGAGGACCAGCACGAAAAAGTGGGAAGGTTAAGAGTGGCCTCAGCTGATCAAAGGAGATTTTCTCTTTCATCACAATCTTTTCACCACTAAAATACAAACAAAAAATTGAAAGTGGAAATCAAAGAGGAATTATTTATGTACCCAGGTTTTCTCTCTGTCTAGTGTAAACTGCTTGATAACATCTTTTACTGTGCTGTGTTTTAGTTGCTGTAAGTTACTGCTTACAGGGAGGCATTCAGTTGTCACTTGCCAGATTGTTTTTTGTTTTGATGTAACAGGTCAAAATTTCAATCATGTAAAAATGTTTTGACCTAGGTTGAATCTCCATTTCCTTTGTCTCCTAGCCCTACTTATTCGTGAATTAGGACTAGGAGAAAAAGAAAATTTAGAATCAACCTAGGTTAAAAGATTTTAACCTGAATTTAATTTTGACCTGTAACACTGACGCTGCCCAGCTATGTGGGTAGTGAGAAAACAAAATTGTAAATTCTGAATGATCAATAAAAATGAAATGAAAATGTGTTTGTTAGAATGACTTACAATAATATTTGACCAGGAGTGGGCGGGAGGGACTTGTAATGGAAAAAGAAATCATCAAAATGCTTCTGTAAATGACAAACACAATGCCACATAACTAAAAGGAGAAAGATGATGTTCATGTTAAGTATGAACTTACATGTCAAAAGGGAGTTTGATTTTCTGGAAAGAGTGGCAGACAAGCTGAGCGTTGGCCAAGATCCTATCCTTGTTGGAAATCTTTCCAGTCCACAGAACATGGCTGGTTCTTCCCTGTCTGTTTTCCACAATTCCTGGTAATGGTGAGGGACAATATCAGTTACACACTAACACAAATTGATAATGCAGAACAAGGGAATGTCTCAAGTAACTCCTTACACAAGTGTCAACAATCCACCAGCACAACAAGTTTGGTGATCTGCGTTTGACAGTCAAGTGCCAAGATGTAGTGCTTATTAGTTGTTTTTATGGTCTTTCTACAGCTACGTGAGATAAACACCTGCATGAAATACCATTTATGCTCCATTTTCTTAATAACTCCTTTCTTTGGGTTTAAAGCCTTGAGATGTGTCATGTACCCTCAAATTCCAATGCAACAGTTCGGCCATTAGGACAAGATTCAACTAAAGGTATTTTGCATATCCTCAAAAACTAGACACCCATAACAGCTTCCTTGTACTTTTTTCCACTTGAAAAGTCAGCACAGTTATTTTTATTGAAGGAGGTGAAGCCGTCTCCCAGTCGCAAAATGATAAAACTTCTAACAATGTGATGACCTGTTCCGCCACTACGACATTCTCACTAAAAATAACGACAGCTATTCCATTTTCTGTCAAAATGAAGTTGGTCCACACACGTACAATCCTTAGTATTGAGAAAATCTTGTCCTGAAAGTCATCCTTGTCTTAAAAACTAAAGGTCACTAATATGCATTCAGTGAAAACTAAACATGATGATGCTGCAAAATTCCCGAGAGTCAAACATTAAAGGGACTGGTTCACGATAATGCGCATGCGCGCCGTTTGTCTCTTCAGAATAAATTTGTCGGGTCAACACTAAATTTGAAATCGCCACTACCGGTACAATCATTGAAAATCCTTCGTTTTATTCGGACATCCGTCGCTTTGGCTGGTCTAGTTATACTTCAGTAGGGGTGATTAACGTGTGGTTGTGTCGTTTGACTGGTTGCGTTTTAAGAAGATGCAAAAAATAATGTTTCGATCATGGAGGTTCAGAAGAGCATCGTGGCCGCCCGGCAACAAGACGTCCTCAAGAGTCTCTGGAGATAGAGAAGCTTAGCCTACCGATCTGGTATGGTTCTAGCAGTACTGCGTGGCATACGAAAACAATACACAACACTTGGAAAGAGGTTAAAGGCATGAGTTCATTCAACTTTGATTTGATTTTTGACTCCGACCTGTAGTTATACCGCAACAGGCCGCACGATCTTCACCGATCTGGTACACTTGAAATGTTCCTTGTATCTTTCCTTTACGATCGTATATGTTTAAGAATTGATGTTTTTAAAATAAATTATTGCCTGAATATTCTGTTTATAATCTAGTTTCTTTTTTGTGTGCTACTCGATAACATTTGTTTTGCGGAACACTGACCCGATGCAACGCGAATGAATTTGTTCATTTCTGATAAGCAATTGACATAATCTTTATACTCATATGTTGTGTGTTTTTGTCACCGGTCAAGCGCTATTTGCAGGTATTTCTGGGTTTATATAAGGCGAACTGAGAGAACAGTAATAAGATGTTTGTTTACAAATTTTGTTTGCCGATCGGTGACTGTTTTGTTAGCGTGGGTACGACCTCGTAAAAATACACGTTGGTAAATTTCTTATCGGCTGCAACATATATCTGAGGAGTAGCAAAGAATAAACTTGAATTATGGGGATAAATAAAATCAAACCAAATGCCCGGAAATACTCTCGCGTCAGGAACAATTAATTTGAATTTTGTAAATTTACTTGCGTGCATCAAACTCGCTTCCGATTGGTTGAAAAACAATCAGCTACTGTCAAAACTCACACATGTGCATTATCGTGAACCAGTCCCTTTAAAACTTACTTGTGCTTGGTCTCATTAAAGGTGGGATTGTGCCTAAAAGCCCACTGTTTTCTTTGCTTGGCATCTCATCCTTTAAGAGACAATATAAAATTACACACTGGCATTGCTCAGTTTGGAAGTCTTTCTATGCAATTTCAAAGTAAATCTAGTAGCATTAACAACAGACACATAGGGCTGTCAAGATTTCAAATTGCTGAGTAAATATAACAAGGAGGCCAGGAAACAAACAGCTAGCCTAGGGATTTCTTTTATCTCTTGTGGCTGGGGGGGGGGGATCCCTTAATGACAGCCCTGTAAAAAAAAACAAACAAACAAAAGAAGCTGAGCAACACTAATTTTATATCAAGAAGCAAGATGATGGTAGGACTTGTTTTCATCCCATATTTTCTCAACTTACAACAAACAGAAACTTTTTAAATGCTTTGCTTTATCTGGCAGTAATTGACACAACAGTAATATGCTAGTTTTTGGTATTTAAAATTTTTCTTTAAACTAAGTACATGATAAACAGAGGTTTGTGCCACATTTAAGTCCATTTGGAGTTCACAGCAAAATAGCAAATTCTGCCTTTTTACTGCCAGGCTCTTCAATTATTGTCTCCTACTAAGCGGCTTTGCAGAGACAACAACAATCAACATCAGGGAGTTAATGCAACTGCATCAACATGGGAAGCAAAGACAACAAGTCAAAACTCATTTATTTTTCCAAGAGTTAATTATCAGACACCACATCTAAGTTTCAAAAGAAAAAGTGAAAGTCTTTGCACATCCTCCATTAAAAGTCACATTAGAGAGTTTAATAACCTGGTCAAGACACCACATCTAAGTTTCAAAAGAAAAAGTGAAAGTCTTTGCACATCCTCCATTAAAAGTCACATTAGAGAGTTTTATAACCTGGTCAAGCAGGGATTGCAAAGAAATCAAATGTAACAGGAAGGTAAATGCAAGTGCAGAGTTGATGTTATGGGCTGGGTTGTTCAAAGCTGGGTTAAGATAACCCAGGGTTAGTGTGAGATTTGAATTCAGATTTGAAAGTTTAAAAAGCATTTCCATTTTAATTCTTTTTGTCAACACGTTGATGATTGGAAGCTCTAAAAAAAACAGAGAAAATTATCCGAGAAAATTCTTTTGAACACACGAAAGAGAAACCCGGGTTAAATTTAACCCCCAGGTTAAGCGCTAATTGGCCTTCGAACAACTGGGCCCTGCTGATTAACCCTTTAAGTCCCAATAGTAACTAATGTCAATTTTCTCCTAACGATATCCATACATTGTCAAGAGATTAGGTTATGAGAATTAATAAAAATGATCACCTAAGGAAAAATGCCTTGATCATTTATCAAATTATCCAAACTTCTTCTTGACGGAAATGTATAGAGATCAGTTTGGAGAATTTGTACGTGGATATTGGGGCTTAAAGGGTTAGACCTACTGAGCTTTGACATTGTCATTACCACCATCATTATCATTTCATACAGGTAGTTCAAATGAAACATTAGAAACTCAGAATACCAACTGACAGATGACACTAGCAAATGACCAAAATAAATGAACTCACTTGTGCAATTGATAATTCCTGAAAAGCTGTAGAGAAATCTCCAAGACTGAACGTTATAACAGCATAAGGCAGACACTGCCGCGGTCGCTTAACATGCAAATCATCACCCTCTTCAGCAAACTCATAGAAATAATACTGAAAATAAATAAGAGAGCAGTGTGTTAGTTTAAGTCAACTAAAAGTGTTTCATTTCTGTAATGTCCATGTATATAGGGAGTACATCCTGATCAGCAGTATCAGTACGACTACTCTGTGTTTTTTCCTAACTCTTACCTGATCTCAGGTAACAGGTCTCAGAATATAATATTTATTACATGTAAATCATTAATTTTTGTTGTGACTGCTTTTTCTTAAGTTTGTTATTCTCAAAGAATTGTACTGATAGCTGCCTATTTTGGGCAACCCAGTTACTCTTGAAACCTTGTCCAAGTGCCTTGACATAGACCAATTTGAAAAATAACCCTGTAGGGGTACAACAAGAACTCCTTTTCTCAGCGAACACATGAAGGCTTCCTTCACCCTTCTAGCCACCACTTATATTAGCTCTTAAGCCTGGTTCTCATATGCCGTCAAGCACCCTAAGATGTAGCCTCCAATACTACCTTGGATACTGTTCCCATATGAAAACAGAAGTTTCTGTTAACAGAGGCCATCCCAGTCTTTACTGCTGACATACCTACAAAGTTGACATGGGTTCAACTTCACAGGCATTCCAGAGGTAAAGACATGCAATGTTTCTTGTTAATGGCAGTGCATGTTCCCATACGTCGAAGCAGTAATGCAGGCAGTATTCACGGCTATGTCGCAGGTACAACAGGGGCATATGAGAACCAGGATTAAAGCCTGTTGCAAAGACAGGTAAGAAGCTGAGAGAAGACAGAAGTACCTGGGAATAATCAAACAGTTGGCTAAGTGGAGTGTTGGCGGGAAGGTTTTGAATGGATCTTGATATATGACAATCAAAGTTTGGTGTTGGTTCAAGCAAGTCTGTACCAGCTGTTCTTTCTGTGACAGGTTTCACCTTGCCCTGCAAACATAAGGTGCAATAAAATTACATTTAAAAACCTTGAAGAGCAGTTCTGATGCAAAGCATATGTGTATTAGGATATGTTCAAACATTGTCTTTACCATAATGATTTGCATGAATAATTTTGTTGTAGCAAGACAATGATACGAGGGCTGAGTAGTTTAAGAATAGTGATGTAACATTTCAGTAACATTGTGGATGTGTATACAGCCATGAATGTGAGAATTTGTACACATAAATTTAAATTTATCACTAAGTGAATGAATGATGGCATAAAAAATTAATTAATTATTAATAAACAACAGAAGTCTAGTGAAAGCTCAAAAGAACTGAACTTGGTAAGGAATTTCACTTAAACATGTTTGTTAATAAGGCAATGAAGTGGTTGTAACACAAACCTTAATGACTTTGAAAATAATCAAGTATCCCAGAGCAGCAAGAGGTAGAGGTTTCCTGGAAATTACATCAGCATGACGGCAAAGGTAAACACCTGGCAAAAAGGATAAACAGTGATGACTAAGCTGTGATGGCTCTAACCAGCAGAACTGAGTGCTCAAAGGCAAAAAAGTTCTCCTGAAGACGTTTTAGGGTTATAGCCTGGTGTTTGTTATTCACTGTTTTGTTGTTGACCCACTGTTTTTCTATCAATAAAATTGAAAGCCAGGGCCTGGTTCTTGAAAGGCTTATTAGGGCTAATCCAGGATTAAATTTTGTTCCATTTGTGTATTTACCTTCCTATGCATTGCTTAGAGTAACATTTTGTGTTAACATTAATGTACCTTGGAGTAAAGGCTCTCCTGCATTATGTACACTTGAGTTACATGTTCTTAGACGAGAAATCCTTGCTTAAAATTTGGCTTAATCCTGAGTTATGCTTAACCATCTTTTGACAAACTGGGCCCAGGTAAACATTTTTGGCCCCCAGTTCTTGATAAGAGCCTTGATATTTACAAAAACAGATCCTAAAACCTGTTTTAGACAAGAGGAATAAGTAGCAAAATTGTTTAATTGTTCATGGGAAAATTCAAACAAGAAAGAGTTTAATAAGATTATTATTATCAAACAGGAGAGAAGTACCCTCTTGGACACCAAAGATTTCAGGTTTAAATTTAGTTATGTCATTGTTAGAATCGTCACCACGACATACAAATAAATGTGTTGGTACTTAGTTGCTTACCCATTGAAGGGTCACCCAGACAAGATAGAGATGATGAACCGACTTCCAGTCCCAACTCGCATATTCTCTTAGCCTGTTAAAGATGTAAGTGTTCACTACTATGGTGTGAAGAAATAGGCTAAATTCTATCCATGCAAAAGTGCAGTTTCCACCTTCACCCTTACTTCTACCAATTCAGTCACTCATAACAGTAAAATTGTAAAATACACCAATGCAGTGATTATATTTTTTAAAACTTTTCATCACCTTCGCTCACCTCCCTCAGGGTTCATACAAAAAATGCAACCTCTCATGGCTCTACATTTGTTACATGATACCACCATAAAATGTCATGCCAGGGCAAATTACCCTGGTGTGAGTTCACCCTGGTTGTTGGGGTGAGAATTTCACTCTGGTACGAAATCTCGCAACGGTATCATGTAAATGCACACTGACCACACGTTTCAGTGTGAAATCAGTCTGCTGATAGACTGGAATGGGTAGCGCATGCGCAATGTTTGCGATTTTGAATCACATATGTATTTTATCAACTTGAAGTGTACCTTCAAATATTGAGATATGAAATGACCCAGGCATTATGTAAACGCGATACAAAATGAAAAAGTCATCCCGGTATGAAACTTGCGCTGGTACGAGTTTTCTCATGTAAAAACCCCCTAAGACTCAAGTATAGAGGAAATTTGTCCACTATTGATATGATTTGGCAGCACAATCTGCATAATCAACAACTTTCCAATGAAAATGAAAGACAGTCCATATGCATGGATTGCTGGTCAATACAGTGAAACCTGTATTAAGCAGACACCCTCTATTAAGCAGACAGTAGCCGAAGTCCCCAAATTTATTTTCCTTATTTACTTTAAATGAAACCTTTATTAAGTGGACACCTTTATTAAGGGGACACGGACACCTAAAAAGTACCTGAAATGGTCATTTCTATTGTTTCCAACCTGTATTAAACGGACACTTGTAATTAAATTCCACCACCCAACATGCCAGACACTGAAAATGCGAAAATTTTTTACCTTAAAAAAAAGTGACTTGACTAACTTATTTGATTAGTTTCACAAGACAGTTATGTTTTCTATTTTGTTTTGTTTGTATAGACCTTGTTTCACTCATCTGATGTCTTCAAATTTGAGTTGCAATCTATGTTTGTGGTACTTTGATCAACTGGTCAATTTAAATAAAGTAATTAATGCAAACGTATATCATCATAGTCTCTGGGAGTATTGTAAACGTTTCCACTGTTCATTTGAATGGCATTTGACACCTCATATGACGTTTTCTATTGAAACCTGTATTAGGCGGTTGCCCTGTATTAAGCGGACACTACAGCATTCCCCGAGGGTGTCCGCTTAATACAGGTTTCACTGTATAATGGCAAACAAAACAAGACAGCATATAAATGAGGCACCTGATATACATGTACGCTTAATTTGCAGAAACCAACTGACAACATTTGTATGATCACATTTACCTTACAGTTCATACAACTACTATTTTCAGTTCTATATAAAATCAGAAACTCATAAGGGGTCAACCCCTTATGCGTTTCTGATAAAATACAAACTACTTACATACAAACATTTTCAGAATTAAAATATTGCAATGCTACACTAAATAATCTACAAAAATAATACAAAACCACCTGCTGTGATATGGACAACAGCATGGCAGATGGTTTCCAGATAAATTCACTTTCTTCAATATTTTTACTGATCCTCTAATTTGATCATTGCTTGTTACTTCAAGATAAAATTTCGGTTTTATCCAAAACGTTTCCAAACAAACTACGTGCAAAGCTGTATTCTGTTAAAAAAAATATCATGCCACCCTAACATGAACAGATGGTTTTCCAGATAATGGCTTACTTGACAACGCCTTTGGTTAAGCTCTTAAAAAATAATTATGCTTAAACTGAGCAGTAATTAAATTCATTCCTTAAAAAGGGCAGAAAAACAGGAAAGGAAACAAGGAATTTTTCTGGAAACCGAAGACACAAACATACGATATTTTAATAACGTGTAGGCTGTGGCGCCCTCTTCAACCTCAACTCATCTCATGAAACGTATTCTTTTCTAAAACTGGTCATCTTTCAATCTAAGCTTATCATTCTTAGATATCAAGCGGAATAAATATGCCGAAAATCACGAAATAACGCGTCTACTCTTGACAAAATTAAAATAATTTTCGTTCGTAAGCGCTTAAAAACTACCTGGAAATCATCAACATTTTAATATGCCCACTAGCAAAATAAAAATAACGGAGAAGTAAACTGCCAAATCCAACTGGAAATGAATGAATCGGCTAAGTTATAAGTGCAGTTTATGTTTGCAGAACTACAAAGGTGTCGTCGGTAAAGTAACCTAAAGAACGTAACATACCTCGTTGCGTTCAAGCGTGTACAGGAACGCAAATTTGTCTTCAAGTTCTCGTGCATTTCGCCATTCATTTCTCATTGATTGCTTCTTTTCTTGATACTGTAGGGATAGAACATGTAATAACAGACGTAAATGATACATAAAGATCAAATGATGCTGTTTTGTTTACAGAAAGTAAAAATTGGTTCAAACAATATTTGTTTTTACCTCTGCGGACAATTTATCGTTATGTACGAGCTCAAGTTTTTCAAACTTGAACGTCGCTCCCAAAGCTGGATCTCTGTACGACTGCTCCACATTTCGAAGCAACTCTTTTCCATCTCTCGAGTTAAAATCTGAAACCTGGAGAAGTTCTGATTTGCAAGGAAAAGTATAAAATGGTATGAGCTTATTTGCATTGGTTAAACGTGAAAAATCAGACGAGTTTGGAAATGATCAACGTAACAAATCAGCAACAAATCTCAGTAAGCATTACCGTTTGTCTGTTTCTTTTTCCGGGGAATAACAAAGCTTGCCCCTCTCTTAGATAAAAAAGGCCTTATACGTGGCTTTCCTGTGTCATTCGGCCTGCTAGTTCCTTGCGTGTTCAATCGTACGGCGAGAGGAGTATCATCTTCAGAGAAATCTGAGCTTGACCCGTTTGGAGCTCGATCACTGTCGATTTGCCCTTTGTCGGATTTTGCCGCTTTCGGAGCTAACATTTTCCTCAATTAATTGTGAACGAGTTTTCTTTCCCTTGGATTTTCTCCTCATGACTTTGCCGCTATCACATAAAACGGCGTTCAAGCTAAGAATCACTGCATTTCACACCTCGAGTGCGCCATCTTCGCTTCCTGACCACGAGTGACGGCTGTGAAACAAGCGCGGGAATATGGTGATTATCTTTTGACAAAGCCCCCCTGGTGAGAATGTGGTAAAAAATGGACAAGGCATCCAAACGTCAACAAAAAAAATTTAAATTTGCCACGTATGAATTCCGAAATTATTGTCTTGACATAGCCTTCGGTTTTTCGCCTGTTTTTATGCTGATAAAGCAAATTTTTGATCCGTGTTTCAGTTTCGTTTTCATGGACGAATACCTTTCCCCACTCCCCCCGATGGGGAAATAGACTCTGCAGTCGCTGAGAGTCCAGGCCTTGTTGATAATCAACTTTCGGCGCTGCGCGAAAAGCCGAACTGGAGCCATAGATGCTTTTTATTTGGAGAACAATTCAAGGTAATTAATGATCCAAGCTTCAAACAATTATTCTACAATGTTTGGACATCTGCAAACAAAGAGTTTTAAGGAACAGATTGGAAAGATTAGGGGTAATTGGCTTTGGCTCCGTTGTTGTCGAAGTCTGGTCATAACAAATCGTAAGTTTAAATATGCATGGAAGCTGCAGAAAGCGATCGATAACAAAAGTCCCTCTCTTTGAAGCAAAGTGATCCCAGCATTTTTAGAATCTGTTTATGTGTTACATCTTCAAATACTTCCCGATAGTGCATGTAAGCAGTGTGATAGTTTCAAAGGTTTACAAAGGTAAATACCGGTAATCGATCAGTCAATGGAACTATTACGTAAGCCGGCAAAGCTGGTCTCAAACGTGCGGCTAGATTTTAGTCGGCAAACGCAAGGTTAATATTCCAGGATTAAGCGAATTTTAATTGCAAAACACAATCAAAGGCAAAGACTCCGGCTTCACGTCCACTCATTAGATCTCATTAGAGGGTTCGGGGGGGGGGGGGGCATAAAGGTTGCGCCAACGGGGCGGGTAATTTTTAACAAGAAAACGAAAAGTTAATATCTAAAAATTAAGAGAATTTTAATTAAAAAAAAAAACAAAAGGGAAAGACTGCGTCTTCCTTCTCCCTAATAAGGTTTTATGAGGGGTTTGGGGGGGGGGGGGGCATGTGGAAGGGGAACGTATGTTGTTCAGGGGTGTACCGTGTAGATTGCATCTTTAGTCATCACTTAGTGTGTCATGGCTACGCTTGGAAAAAATAAAAAATGCTTCCATACAGTGCTAGTGGTTTAATCAAAGACAATAACCCATTTCGCAGATGTCACACAGAATTGCAATTTTCATGTTTTTCATTTATTCAAAAATTGACCTCCGTAGATCGATTTTCCATGTCGAATTTAGTAAAACTGCAAAGTTTCAAAAGGATTCAGATGTAAAATAATGGGGAAATGATCTTCTGAACAGGTGAATTGTATAATACACTAGGCATGGCATTTACAAACTTGAAAATCTATAAAAGAGGTATGTGAAAAAAAGAGGTACTTATTTGTAACAAAGAAGACTGTAAGAAAAATGTGATCATTCTACATAATAATGATGGATAGTCAAGCTATGACTTTTGGAGCACCTAGCCAATTCACTCATTAAAAACAAAGGTTACACACAGGCAAGAGCCCAATTGAGTTGAACTTAATCCAGGCAGTTTCTAACAATAATTATGCTTTTTTTGTTGTAATTTACAGCTATTTTTGTGGTTCTTTCTGGTAGCTTTCAATGATGGATCCGAGTGAGATCCTATTACAAACAATTAGTGAGAACAGTCATCCTCTGGCATGTATAAAAAATTTGCTCGCCTGTCCAGATATTTCTGTTAACTTTGCTCATCCACGGAACCATCAGACAGCTCTGCACATTGCAGCGCAGCAAGGAAATGTGAATCTCATAAACCTGCTGTTGTCTTATGGTGCCCATGTGAATGGCGGAACAGTAGATCTTATGACACCATTACATGAAGCAAGTTTTGGTGGTCATCCACAAGCTGTTGAAACTCTTATTGCAGAAGGGGCTGAGGTTTGCTTTTTACATGTTATTACAAGTAAATAATCCTTATATTGAAGAATGTTACAGTGCAATAAAACATACATATTACTCTACAATACAAGATCACCAATTACCAGAAGTACTCAGTGTCTTATTTACTGAAAATTGACTTCATGTTTTATTATTATGTAGTTTCATTCTAAACAATTGTTGCAGCACTCTTCCGATAACATTGCCATCTAATAGATTACAACAAGTGGCCCTGGGCAAGCAAAATGAGAGAACTGCTTGCCAAAATCAAGTTTTTTCAAGCCCTGCTTATATGTTAAGAAATTAGAATACATTACATATAATCAATAACAAGGGTAGCCTCCTTATGAATAAAACTACATACAATCATTTAAAAGGGTAGCCCCCTTACAAAAAAAGGCCCCCTTAGTCAACTCGAGATTGACTTTATCAATAGATAACTTATCCTTAGACCCAGTGTAATAGTCATGAATATCATAAGTTCGCTGTTGAGAATAATCTGAGAAATAACTTGGAGCTTGTCCATCAAGACAATTCTTGACAAGCTTGATGATATGTTTCTCTCTTCTCGTCTTAAGAGGGTCCCAACCAAGACTGAAAGCCATATCTTCAGTGGAAAAATGCACTGTCTTCAACACTATCCTAGCAGCACGCCTCTGCAGGCATTCCAATTCTTCTTCATTTTTCATTTACCACAGCCATGAAAAACAGCACAAAAGTATTCCAAATTTGATAGTATCATTGATTGATATGATAATGGTTCAATGCTTCAGTTGTTAATGATGATCTAATTAATTCTTGAGAACATCCCCAGTGTTTTAATGTATTCTCTCTCTAGTCATTTATCAAGCACTCTGACAGCAGCAGAAGAGTGCTGCACCAGTTGAGTAGTTAATAAATTAAACTATAAAGTAATAACATGCCAATTAAGTCTATCTTTAGCTGATGAAGAATTTGTCCTTCTATCAAGCATTCTCTAGCCCTGACAGCTTCTGCACATCTACTGAAATCAAGGACTCTATCAATAATATTATGTTAAAGAATGAAGGGGTAAATTTCCTTTGCTTCCTACTATGTAGCCCTAAAATTAATTCAATAAAAGACATTGAAGGATTAAATTCTGGTTTAACCTGAGAACAAATTTAATATTACTACTACAACATTAGTCACTGGTGCAATGAAGTTTGTAACAGCTAGTCTGCTGCTGATGGTATGCTTTTACACTGGTATGACATATTTCTTTTTTTTTTGTCTCTTCGCAGGTTAATGCACGCAATATAGATGGCAGTACACCCCTGTGTTTTGCTTGTTCCAAAGGGTGTATTCAGTCTACACATCTGTTGGTTAAAGCAGGAGCAGAAGTCAACCCTTCCCTGACAGTCACCTTCCCACCTTTGCATGAAGCAGCCTTGAATGGACATGTTCGTTGCATAGATCTTTTAGTGCGATTGGGCGCCAACCTAGAGAGATCTGAGAATCAGTTTGGAACTGCTCTGCACATTGCTTGTCTCCGTGGTTATGCAGACTGTGCGAGATCATTGCTTCATGCTGGAGCTAATCCCAATGCAATCAAACGACACCAGTCTCCTTTGCACACAGCTGCACTATGTGGTTACGAGGAATGTGCAGCACTGCTTTTGGAGTATGGAGCAAATGTTTATCAGAGGAATTCACAAAGCAAGAGACCTTCTGATTTGGCTACAGATGTGGCATGCAAAAAAATCCTTCTATCAAAAGCCGGTGAGGAAGGAGGGGTGCTGAAACTATGCATTGTCAAATCCATACTCTCATCTTGCAATAGGCGAAGCTTTGTTTAAATTTTTTTGCCTCATTAGCATGTCCCTTTTATTTTCTGGTCAAGCTATCAAAATAAACTCTGGGAATAATCAAAGGCCTGCATAACAATATAATTTCAAATATCTGTGAAAAGTTGAGCCTGATTTACCAACAGTTTAGGAGATTGAAATAAAATTATCTTTGAAAAACTTAAAACTTTACCAAGAAGTATGTATGGGCTCATTAACCTTTTCGCACCCAACAATTTTGCAGTTTTTGATGGCTGCTATTTCCTTTGTTATATTGCTTGCAAAGAACTGAAAATTGCACAAATTAATCAATTCTTCAACTCTTGAAGTTAATTTGTGCATACAATGATGCCCTCTATGGTTTAACTCATATGCTACTAAACAAAAATGTAAACAGTGACTTTACCAAAGATTCGCCTACAGGTAGATGTAGAGGAAATTAGTAGGAGTGGTGTTTTGGGTGGGGTCTTTCAGACAGGGAGGTAAACAACCCAACGGAGATGAGAGAGTTGGAGGGAATGAATGATATACTGTCTAGTAAGACACCTTTTTTGGAAAAGGGGTCCATGTTAAATATTTTTTTGCAAAATAAAAAGAATAAACAGGGAGTCCTAAATGTTGTTCATCTCAGGCCCACTTTTATCCGTTCTTTTGTTATGCTGGAAAACATTTTGATATTATTATTAAAGGCTAATTTTTGCTCGATTTTTTTTTCCAGAAACTCCAGCAAAACTTATCGAAACCTGCCGGCTTGTCATCAGACAACAGTTGTCACGAACTCCATCGATCAAGATTCCACTGCTACCCCTCCCTGGCTCCCTCAAAGAATACCTCAACTACTATTACTGATCAGTGACAGGCGGTCACACCCTACATCCAGATGTAGCTTAAATAGAGGTTTAAGCTTCACATATTGTATGGCAAACGTCAAACATCAGATTAAAGTTGAGAATTTCTCAAAATAGAAAATGAGCAGATAAAAACAACATGAAATTAAACAACAGTAAACAACAAGTAAATCTAGGAAACTTGGTCAGGTGGTATAAATTCGCGTTTGCTGTTTAATGTAGAAGTGATGCTTAATGTACTCTCTTAATATCATTAACTTGCATTGCTGACATTAACAAAGTATTGTACAAGGAGGCTCTGCCTGGAGATCCAATCCATGCCCTTTTATATGCATGTACCAAAGTATACCTTTCATTGACAAATGGTACCCCTTTCACTTGCCTAACTTCAGAATGTTGCATCCCTTTAACTGCATTAAATGAACTTTCTATTAAATTTGAATAAATCACAGAACTGAAAAATTCTCTTGACGTTTTCGCAGCCATAAAATCCTTCTGTCAGCCATGCAGATACCTGTAATTGAAAATATCATAGATAATATTGTCAGCATTACCTTAGTATTTACCTTTTTATATAGATTACCTTAGTCCTTGGCGTTTAGAAAAGAAAAAGAGTTCATTTATAAGTTAAAAGTGTATAAAAATTAAGTAGCAGGTTTTGTTAGCCTTGTTATCTTGTAAGTACATTCTCCTATAGATTACTTGATAGACCTTGGAGTTTAAGAAAGAAAAAGTAGTGGTGTTCATTTCTTTGTTTATAGTAGATATAAAGTAGCAGATTTTGTTAGCTATAAGACAATAGAAAACCCATAAGAAAAGTCTAGCATTCTTGACTATAATGTATAGAAGTGTATATTCATATAAATGATTGATTTAACTGACAATTTGACCTGGTTACCGGGTTCCTGGGACATATAACAACCGATATTCTCGTCAGACAGAAAAAAATATCTATCCCACTCCTTTAATTTTAGTGATGAAAATTATTTTATCCAGCTGAGAAAATTCCTCTGTAGAGATATGCATGTAAAATGCTTTGCCCATTTGAAACAAGCAGTACTTTTAATGATGCAATGCTGGAGAAATTGTCTTTAACTAAGTGTTGAAAAAACTCATGAGCTGCAAAAATTTGGCTGTTTTTGAAAGCCTTTTGACAGTAATAAACAGCGCTGTTGCAGTTGTCCATGGCTTTTACACTTTAGTGTCATTGGTTTCCAAGTTTAGAAACAGTACTTGTACTATTTGGGTATGATGAAGTCTTCTGGACACTACACTTCTTATAAATTAATAGATCCCACAAAACAGTCTTTCTTAATTTACTGCTTGATAAAGAAACTCATTATAACAATATTATTGTTGTATTTGCATTTTTCACTCTTAAATAAAAACTGTAATCAGCTCTGTGTGTAAAATTCTTTTTTGTTTAGTTACTCCGACTAGAGGTTAGCTGGGTTAATACTTCCTCAAGGGTCTTTGTGCACTGCCCTTGTCCAGGAAGTGACTGTCTATAATGTAAAGATTGGGTGGGCTCTCACATTATAGGTTGCCCCCAGCAACTCTCATGTAAAATATACGGGGATATACAGTCGAACCTCCCATAAGCGACCACCCAAATTGCAAAGGCTTGGTGGTCACTTACGGGAGGTGGTGGCTTCCAAGAGTCTTACCGCAAGGGCGAAATTTTTAACTCACCCTAGAATGGACTGGTATATTTATTCTAAAACAATAATGAAAGTTTACTTTCCCCTGCTAAATGTTACTGTTAGTTTTATTGACAAACTCACCAGCTATTCTATGTGACAGTTCAATTACGAAAGTGCACTTAATTAGATAACGCGTCATAAATTGTGAATAAAAAATTGTACTCGTCCAAGTGACTTTTTGCACAGAACTGTCTCTAAAACATCTCACGAACAAGAGCTTAACTTCTCAAACTGCAACCTGGAAATCTGAAGTCTTCTTCTCAAGGGTAATGGTAAATATTGAAATTATAGATCGAACTAATAAACACAAATATAGGTGTGTAGATAATAATGACAACCAAAGACTAAATTCCTTTTTGTACATTTTTACAATGTAATTCACTGTTTAGTAGAATCATGTGTCAGGTGGTCGCCTACCACAGGTACACATGAAGGATCAATTGTATAATAGTCCCCAGGGCTCTCCCCCCTTGGGCGGAGCCTTAGTCCCCAGGGCTCTCCCCCCTTGGGCGGAGCCTTAGTCCCCAGGGCTCTCCCCCCTTGGGCGGAGCCTTAGTCCCCAGGGCTCTCCCCCCTTGGGCGGAGCCTTAGTCCCCAGGGCTCTCCCCCCTTGGGCGGAGCCTTAGTCCCCAGGGCTCTCCCCCCTTGGGCGGAGCCTTAGTCCCCAGGGCTCTCCCCCCTTGGGCGGAGCCTTAGTCCCCAGGGCTCAAAGAAAAAATAAATAAACTTACGTTGTAACTTACCTTTTTTACCTACCTTGTGTCTTTTTTATATCTTCTTTAAGTTCTTTAGTTGGTGAAATAGTTTTCTTGAATTTATGATTGTTGTCAAAAAGGTTTGCATTTATGTAATACACTCTTGTTTTAATTTTACAATTTCTTTCTTGGTGGTTTGCGTTGATTAATTTAGCTGTACGTAATGTTTAAGTATGTTTTAAACCTTACATCTTTCACAAAATTCACCAGCGCAAACTTCTTTTAAATGGTAATAACTTCTGGCCAGAAATTCGGAAATAGGTTTGATGTATTAATAAATGCAAAGTAGTTGTAGTTGTTACGGTATATATACCAAACCAGTTAAAAACGTGTTGATATTGTTGGTAAGAAAGTTGCAACGTGAACAGAAAAACAGGATAATAATCGATCTCCGAGGCGATTTGTAAAATAATTCCCGAGCGCCTGTGCTCTTTTCCGTAGTTTTAGATTTTACAGGTCATTATCGGGATCACTGAGGTAGAACAGCAGGTTACTATTTGTAATAACCTTCTGTTCCACCTCAGTGACCTGTTATTTCATTTATCCAAAATAATGTCCTGTTCAAAACAATAGAAAAGTCATTGCAAGTTCTGTCTAACCGACTGTGTTATGCAAAAAAGGAACTTACCGCAGGTTTGGTATATACTGAATAATCAATGACACGGACACACAAATGAGTATAGCTGCATATCCCTGTTCAGGACGGTGGCAGTTCATTTTATTGATATTTTGAAGGCTTTCTTGCAGTCAAATTGTTCTGCTCTTCTTTGTAGTTAGGCGTTCCTGTTAAATAATGGAAGGTGTGTTATTTGTCGTTGTCATAACTACCTGCATGTATCTTGTTTCTCCCTAGTGATAGTGATACCTTTCTGCCGCCGCTGTAGCACCGTTAAAAGTATACTCCTCTAGTGCACGGCTGTTTACACCCAAGTTCTATGTGCGAGCCGCGATGCTGAATCTTCACACTACATGAGAAGTATCATTTGGAATTTTTGAACATAATGTCAAATCAAGTTTTTTCACCCACTCATCTACTCGGAATAGATGACTCGCTGAAGTTCATTCCTATCAAGAGCATTCATGTGAATTATCTAAAAAATAAAAAGGTTATCTGTGACTAGACCAAAAGAAATGTTTTGAAAATTGACAAAAAAAAGGAGAAATAAATCTAAGCAATCAAGACTTTGCGTAGTCGTTTAAGCAAGAACGTATATTTACTCGATGTACCATGGAAATTTCCAAACAAACCTAGACTGAACGAGCACGTTATTAACCCGGGCCGGTGCATTTACATCCCGTACGCACTATAATTCTATCTCCTTTGTATTCACTTGGCGTGGCATTGCCAGCAAAACATAATTTACCTTCAAATCTCACTGATACGGTATTATCAAACTTTTATTAGCACAAATGCCGCTTTAAAATATAAAATAATACATCGCTCCGTGTATATTTTCTGCCGGAGTCAGAGTAGAACTTAACAGCAGAACTGAAGAACTGAATTAAGCACTAAAAGCCGTTAAACAACTAACGGCTGTTTCACCGTTCGGTTGATTAGATTATTGCAAACAATTAATGCAAACGACGTGTATATTAACAAGATACATATAATAAAAGTTGAACTGTGAACAAACCTGGCATTTTCGAAGAGGCTGGAGCGAATCTTGACTGAAAAGGCCAGATACCGCTTGAGCTGAGTTTGATCTTCACTACGCCAAACTTCTGACTTTAAAAAGTTTGATCAACGTGAAATTCTGTGCCATTTATATGGTCGCGCCATTAAAATTCAATCCACTATGAGAAATTTTTTTGATTTTTAGCAGCTTCACTCCCAAGAGTTTTCTCTCGACACTGCCAGAAAAACACGCACCCGCCGATTATGGTTCAACAATGGGCAATCAACGCTCAAATAGGACACATTCAACATGGAAAGTTTGCCGATTTGCTCAAATATTTGACGTAGTTTTGGCAAAAAAAGTGAATACGCATGGGACTTCGAGATGCTTTTAAAACTGGTCTAAATTGCAGAACGTATAAGCGTTAACGTACCTTGGCAGTGTAGTGAGAAAAGCACGCTTGCGGTTCATCCATGAACAAGAACGCACTCAAATGAAAAGTTTGTCGACTCGCCGATATTTCAAAGAACAAACGAATAAAAGAAAAAAAAAACTAATAAAAACTTTCAAAACTTTTCGGTTATATATAAATATCAATTATTTATTATAAAAGCGCAGAAAGTTTCTCGGAAATCTGTACAGCAATCTTCAATTGCCATCACCGAAAAAGAAAAATACAAAAACAAAAAGTGACAAGACGTCCTTGGAAATAATCAATGACTTATCATCTCTTCGAGAATGGAAATACCAGGGAAAATGTCCTGGAGTGTTTCAGGCACTTCTTGAACATTTAAGCTGACAATTTATCACGAACACAAGCTGAAACTCGGTGCGTTTCACTTATAGCTTTATTTTCACTTGAATATCAAGTGAGCCTTTGCGTGTCACAGAAGGATATCTTACTTCCAGATCGACTTACGTTGTTAC